AAGAATCACAGTTACTAACTAAGGAAGAAAAAGGTCTTTAGAGTCCTAGACAGGCAGCATGTGCCCTTGCCTACAGAACCTTCCCCTCCCTTTCCACAGTTGATCCACCCGGGCTCCGGCAGATGTGCAGCCACTGGTGGGTGGAGAAAGGCTTCGCTTGGAGATCGCAAAGAAGATAAACCAAGCACACAACTCCAGCACTAAGTCAGGTTCTTTACTTCTCAGAAGTGACTGCTAAAAGGAGAGAGACAGCAAGAAGAGACAGACAGAGCCAGAGAGAGCAGGTGATGGAAGAAAGGGCACAGTAAACCACTGGTCTAGGAAGTCTCAGGAGGCAAGTGCTCAAGGTAAAAAAGAGTCCTGGAGAGTGGTCTGCGGCCACGGGGAGCGCCTTGGTTTCCTTCTGTGTATCAGTCCTCCAGGAAGGCTGCTGCCGTTACCGCATTAAATATTATGTACATCGCAGAGAGTCCCAGGTAGTGAGCACCCGGGAGGGGTCATTTCACCAGGGGCCGAGTTTTATCATCATCACCGCACTGGTGGGCTTTGTACTTTTTCACTTCTGCCATGTACTTGGCCCATGCGTCACCTTTACTTGTTAATACCTGTAGGATCAGAGGAGGGAAGGAATGGTTGGAAGACAGATGCTCAAAAAGCTGGGACCAGATCAGGAACCCATAACCCATCCACAGTACCACCTAAAGGCCCTGGATTTGAAGTAAGAATAAGCAGAAGCAGGTTATCTGGGGAACCTCCCACCCTATAAGGCCCACCCATCCAAAACCTGACCACTGGGCACTGAGTCTGGAAGGAAAAGGTAGTTAGGGTGGCACTCCTAGGCAACCCACTCACCTCATCCTCCGTCTTCTGCTTCTTGGCTACTATTCCCGTCTTGAGGGCTAGTTTGTTCCCGCCTCTGCGCTTGCCCACCTGGGTGAAGGGACAGAAGACTGCAAGGGTTACAGGAGCCGGGCCCGCCCTTGGCGGTGCTGAGGCCCACTACACCTTCCTAGCGACGCCTCGCCCAGCTCCTCCAGCCGGCCGACCTGCGCAGCAATCAGAGAGGAGCACACTCGACTCAGCACCTGCCCTGGGCTGCCATGCCCAGGCAGTCCTGGGCCCCAGGCTACCCTCCCAGGGGGCCAGAGGAGTGCTAACCTTACTGGGAACTGGCTCTGTCTTACTCTTTGTGCCCAGGCCTCACCTTGTCCTGTCAGGGACCACACAGGTAATGACACCTTCCTTTATTGAGCATCACTATCTACCGAGCCCTATACACCACCACACAGAGTGCTGGGACATCTCCTATACACCACACAGAGCGCT